AGAAGAGTTGATGTCTTTGAATTGTGATGCTGGTGGAGAATATTGAATGGACTGCCAAAAGATTAAACAAATCTGTCTTAAAAGAAATTGAACTAGAATACACCTTAGGAAGCAAGTATGGAGAAAGGCATCATGCTTGGAAAAGTAAAGGGTAGATGAAGGAGAGGAAGACCTTTCACAAGATTTAGCAACCCAGTGATTGCAACAGTGAGTTTAAGCATAGCAGAGATTGTGAGGAAGCACAGAACTGAGCAGGATTTCATTCTATTGTACACAGGGTCACTATGAGTTAGAACAACTCAATGGCATCTAATAACAACAACAACATTCTTTGAACTTGGATGCCATCTTTGTTATCTAGTGCTGCTATAACACAAATACCACAAATGGATGTCTTGAACAAGTAGAAATTTATTCTCATAGTTTAGGAAGTTAGAAGCCCACATTCAGACTCCTGCTTTAGGAGAAGATTTTCTCATTCTGCTGGCCCTTGGGAAAGAAGATGTTGATATTCTATCAACATCTGTGTGTCCAGTGTTCCTTAAAGATCTCTATGTGTCTTGGCATCAATTTTCCACTGAGTCTAGGAGGTTCTCAGCTAAGGGACCCCTTTATAAAAGATGTCTTTCACTCTTGGCTTTTCTTTCTTAAAGGAGTCAGGTCTCTTGCCCTACTACTACTCTCTTTTCTTTCCTTTTATCTCTTATAATATAAAAGGTTATAACATAAAAAAGCTATAACATAATTTATCTCTTATAACATAAAAGAATGTGCAGTGTACATCCGAGGGATACTCCCCTTTCATCTAATCAATATTTTTACTTCAGTCAATGTGGAATCTTAAGTAGAGGTGATACGTTTCACTCTTTAGCATAGCAAATGCAACCTAATCCTCTTTAACACCATTATTCTGCCTCATCAACCTTAAGCACAGGTTAGTTAAGATTTAATCAAACAGAAAGTCAAACTCACTGGAACTGAATAGACTGACTAAGAACTACCCTTCCTCAGGTTTCTGAGGCTGTAAATCTTTATGAGAGGAGACTGCCCATCTTTCTCCCTCATAGCACTTCATGGATTCAAACTACCTGAGCTGCTTGAATTAGTAGAGAAATTTGGTAAGAACTAGACATAGGGACCTCTTCAAATTACTGAGGTTGTGCCTGATCCAGGCTATGGTCATTTCAATCACTTGCTATGTATCTGAGTGCTGGACACTGAATAAAGATGACAGAAGAAGAATTGACGCTTTTGAGCTGTATTGTTGGAGAGGAGTACTGAATACTCCATGGACTGTCAAAAGAACAAATATGTCATGGAGTACAGCTAGAGTGCTCCTTGGAGGCAAAGATGACAAAGCTTCATCTCATATACTCTGGCCTATTCCTTAGGAAGAAACATCATGCTTGGAAAGGTGAAAGTGAGGTCAGTGAAAGAGAGGACTCGAAGGGGTGGATTGACTGCAGCAATAGGCTTAAACATTTCCGATATTGTGAGAATGGCACAGGATAGGACCGGGTTCAGATCTGTTGTTTATGGGGTCACTATGAGTTGTTTCAACCCAATGGCACTTAACAACAAAACCACTAGAGCTCCCTAGGGTTTAGACTATAACACAAAAATGGGGGATAATCCCCAATACTAGAATTTATGGTCTACTCACATGGACATATATTTTTGAGGAGGACACAATTTATGACATTTTCCTTGTTTACAAAATGGTTGGTGGGCAGCTCTTTAAGACAACATTCTTCATCCACCAGGAGCTCCAGGGTGCCTTGCTTTGTTGTTTTTCCCCCAGAGTTTTGAAGAATAATTGTCCCAGACATGAGCATCTACATCACGTCTGAAGAGAGGAACCACAAGGAACCTGCCCTTCTTGCAGACCCAGACAGAGTTCCTCCAAGCCCTGGAGAGTCACTTCCAAGCAAGGACAGATTATCCAGTAAGCGACGTAAGCATGAACTTACTTATTTTACTGACTGTAGTGAACAGTATCACAGACTTTCCCACTACACGTTGTGCAACTGTTCAGCACAGAGTAGTAAGTAAACGCTTGTTAACTCACCTTCGCCTTGCTGATTGGGTAACAGCTTCTGCTTCTGAGAAGGAAATCTGAAGCATATCATTTATGCCTTTTAATATAGAAAAACCCAAACTAAGATGAGAAGAATTATTTCTGTGACACACAATGGATGTGGGGATGTCATGGGAAGGTTGGGGTCAGGCAGAATCCTTCTAAAGTAATTTTTTTTTCTCTTATCTGGAAAACTTAAGCAAAAGTGAGTCCATTCTGAGCCCTTGAAACATCCAATCTTTTCTTCCAAGGCCTCTTTTTCTCTCTAGGAGCAGTAATAAAAGGCATTCAACTTTCTGGATTTTTTCTGAAAGGATCCATTTTATTTAAAAGGCTCTTTGCCCAAGGCTGGACTTGTCTGCTAGGGATTCAGCAAAGAGATCTGTGAACCCAACTCACCAGGTTGATGTATGATGGGTGTTGTTGTGAGTGCTAAGTTACAACTGACTCTACCTAACTATCAGTGGATTTTAAGAGGTTGTAAATTGCATGGGCATGAGCTCTCATGGCCTATTGGTAAGCAGTTACGTTGCAATCCCGAAGGCACAAGGTTTGAGGCCACCAGCTGCTCCACAAGAGAAGCATGGGCAATCTCCTCCAACACAATTAACTGCCTCTGAAAACTCGCCGGAGGGTCTGCTATGGGTTGGTTCTGACTTTATGGTACACAACAAAAACAACAAAAAATTGCATGGGCTGATATTACCCATCATTCTCCATGGAGCAAGGGATGAGTTGAAATTGCCTGCCTTTGTTATACACCAATGAGTTGAAGCCGACCCATAGCTGACTCTACAGCAGGTTTTCAGAAGCAGTAAATCACATGGGAGACTTCCGCTTGTTCTGGAGAGGAGCAGCTGGTGGGTTCCAACTACATGCCTTCAGGTTACCAACACAGCTCCTTCCCACTAGGCTACCAGAGAGCTCTCCAGTAGGCCACCCAGAGAAAATACAAGGGGAATATAATGTTCTCAGAAGCATTACTTCTAGTCCTCTGCTTTTTATTAATTTCCTTAACAGATGTCTTTCTCTAACACTTGTTAGGTGTGGAGTCAACTACAAGTTACATCGAGCCTATGAACAACAAATCTGAACCTTGCTGTTTCCTCCACCATCCTGACAACCTCTGTCATGCCCATGCCCACTGTGACAGTCACCATGTCAACAGAATGCTATTTACCAGAATCTATTCCTACTCCTCCTTCCTCAGTACCTATATGCATGAAAAGGGGCAGCTCAGAGCAAAGAAGAAAAATTAGTCATAATGTTGGGATAACTTGTGAGTAGGCTGTCAGAGCATTTTAGGAACTATTGCTTGAAATTATCAACATTCTAAAATGTGGATCATTTTAGACGAAATCTTTGTAAGACAAAGGCCACTATTGACCAGCTTTGTAGGTTGGACAACAGATAAACATGCTGGGGGGCTAGGAGGTGGAATCACCTTTAAGTTTAGTTGGCTGATTTCTCTGGCAGCAGATGAGAGCTTTGGCCATTGCCCTCCACCGAATGGGCCCAGCAAGCAAGACAAGGGGATTCTCAGCATGTGCCCCCCTAACTGTGGATCTTAGTAGGTGTAAGTATAGGCACCCTAGCTCCGAATTTTAGGCAGCTGCACACCCCAGCCAGGGACACCCTGCCAGAGTAATTCATCCTGACTCTCACAGCCAGGGATAGCCCAGCCTCAATGAACTACAATTTAAAAGGCTTTGTTTACAAATCAATTCTCTCTTCCCCTAAATAGGCTGTTATAAGAGTGGACCCTTCTGCTTGGCCAGCCTGGGCCCACCTGTCACAAGGACTTCCTAGCCAGTGGTCACACTGTATTGATCTTTTTAATCCCCTCTCTTTGAAACACAGAGCCAGCTGATGTGGAGTTCCTTAAAAGAAAGACTTTCACCGCCCCTACCTCTACAGGTAGCTGCATATCCGGGGCTAATTCCCAACTAAAAAGTCTTAATTGGCTTATGGGGAGCCTGAAAGATCTTTCTTGTGTGTGCAAGGTGAAAGGAAATGACGGACCCCAAATGCTCTGGTCAGCCTTTATCCGTTTCTTGGTGGAAATCAGGTGCATTTTATTTATTTATTTTTTTTAAAAAAAAACTTTTTGAAACAGGATTGGAGGGTTTGGGGTGGGTTAAGGATATAGTGTTTCACTTTAGTGGTTGAGTCGTGGGGGGCAGGGGTGGAGAAAAAAAGCCCCAGGAGACATCAACATTAGGCAAGAAACTTGTTGGGTTTTACCCCCTTAGTTTTATTTACATGAAGCATCTGCAGTACAAAAATGTAAACTTTGATAGCTCATAATAATAAACTCTTTATGTACAAAAATACATTTTCATATGAATGAAGTATCTTGAATAAATTAAAGTACTCTCCAGCCCCAGGCCTGAATAGCTACGAAACAGTCTCTGGCTCTTCCTAGAGCAATCCTGCAGTGGTGGGGCCCAGAATCCATAATGCATGAAGCCCACTCCATGTCTCTCCTTTTTAAGCCTTTTCATTGTATTGTCAGCCGGCTCAAACTGAATTTTCATGCTCGTTTTTCTTCATTAGAGTTCTACAAATTGTAAAATTGACTTTTCACCTCGTCTTCAGGGGCTGATCTGTCCCTTTTCTAAATCACACTGAAGTGGTGGCTGGGGTCAACTCTGAGCCAGCCACAAAGGAGGTTTTGTGGAGTTCAGAAAGTGCAAAAGGAAAGGCCGTCTAGGGGCGGGCAGGAGGGGCCTTGGGCTGAGAGCTGAAGAAACAGACCAAGGGCAGCGGCAGCGAGGGTGCAGCGACCTAACAAGGTATCGTCCATCCCTTTAAAGCTCCCACCTCCTCCCTCTGCCTGGAGTGGGGGTCCCTAGGCCACAGCTGGGGCCACATCTACAGACTGATGAGGAAGGGGGGGGGGGATAATGGTATCTACAAGAGGCTAGTTGTAGGGAACGAAACAGGGCGTCGTGTGGAGCAAGTCTTTGGCCAGGCCAGGGAAAGAGAAGAGGGGATCGCCCGAGCCGTAGGCGAAGTCTTCGGAAGTGGCTGGGCTACTGGGGTCCGAGAGGGGCGAGGTGGCTGCTGCACCACCAGAACCCCAGGATTCGGCGTCGCTGGCGGGGCTGGGAGGCCCTGGCAGGCAGGGGGCGCACTGCGGTGGCAGGAGGCGCTCCCTGGCACCACCGCCTCCGGGTAGTCCCTGGTCCGCCAGGCGCAGTGTCTCTGCCAGAGCCCAGATATAGTTGTAGGCGAAGCGCAGAGTCTCGATCTTGGTGAGCTTCGTGTCATCGGGGAAGGAAGGCAGTACGCTCCGCAGCGCGTCCAGTGCGGCGTTCAAGTTGTGCATACGGTTGCGCTCACGGTCGTTGGCTTTGACTCGCCGGCTCCTGCGCAGCGAGTGCAGCAGCGCCTCCGAGCGCACTCGCGCACGACCTCGGCGCCGCCGCCGCTCCTGCTCGTCGTCTTGCGCCCCTGGCGCATCCGGAGCCCCGGGGATCCCAGGAGAGCCTCTGCGCGGCGGCGCGGGTGGTGCCGAAGCTGAGCTTGGCGGCTGGAACCTGGCACAGTCCTCTTCGTCGGTGAGGAAGCCGGAGAGTTCACTGCTGCTGCTGGTGGTGGAGCAGTCGAGGTCAGAGAGACAGGTCTCCAGAGAGGCGGGCATGGTTGCGCTGTGCTGGACCGACGCGCGCGCTCACGGACAGAAGGATGCTTAGAGGGCTGGAGCCCCAGCTGAGGGCAGTGCGCACAGCAGCCCCGTTGCAGGCGTGAGAGCCTGGAAGAGCGCAGGGCACACGAGGGGACTTGGCCTCGCCTGCTCGCCTCGCTTACAGGGGCCACGCGCCCGGTCGGTCTCCTGAGTGATCTTGCCGGCGATCAGATCAGCTCGTGTGAGCACCGAGTGTGGCACACGACCGGCCTCAGGACCCCTTAAGTACCCAACGCAACAATGGGAGCCCCCCTCCCTTGCCACCTCCGCCCCCGCGGCAGCCCCCTTGAATGGAGCGAGGCGGCAGGTCAGCCCCGTGCGGCTCCCTGTATTTGCATAATTTATGCTAGCGGAGGGGGGGGACCCTTGCCCCTCCCCCCTCCCGGAGCGTGCCCGTAATTACCGCCGACCAATCGGCGGCGCCGCGGGGCCCCGGGAGCCGTCTCCCGGCTAAGCTGGCCCGGCGTCGCCAGGCAGTGAAACCGAGGAGGGGGCGGGGGGCGATTAGCGGCCCGGGCACGCTCCTCCGGGGCGCCCCTCACTGGGGTGGGATGGGAAGGCGGGGCACTGGCAGTCTAGCGTGAGCAAAGCAGTGAGTAGGGGAAACCCCCAGCTCGTCCGGAGTGCGAGTTCGAGTCCCCTCTACAGGTGCTCACTGGCTGTGAGACTTCGGACAGGCGATTTAGCCTTCATGAGCCTTAGTTTTTCTGTCTGTTAAGTGTGAAGCACGAATGAATGTCCCCTGCGGAGGATGATTGAGCACTTGTCGCAGGGCTTTTGTAATGAAGCATGGGGTGAATGGTTGTGAAATGCAGCGCTATCAGAACCAGGGAACCCTTAGCAACATAGAAGAGTAAACCGGGTTAGGGTTCAAAGCAAAGGACATACATAGATGTCTCTGCTCGGTCGAGATGGGGGAAGAGGCTGAGGAATGAAGTGGTGTGCTTCACGTGGCGGGGAGTCGGGAGAGGGCTGAGATTGAGAGAAATAAAGGGTCAGGTGATTTCCCAGATTGGGTGGAGTATTTACTGCCACCTCCCATCCTCACCCTGCTGGGGAATGACTAAATAATCCCAAAGGCTTCCCTTGACCTTGTGTTTGGGATACAACTCACAGCTAACCCTCAGCGTGTTTTCATAAACTGTAAATCCCACAGAGATTTGCCCAGCTCGCGGACTCGAACTGCTTTCATTCAGGGTGGCAGCCCAACTTCTTAACCATGAGATCATGAGAGCTCCAAGGGGACCCCATCTACTTGTTCCCCCAAGAAGCCCCAATTCCGTGCTGAGTCTCTGAGAGGTGGCACTACAAGCAAGAACCAAGCTAGAGCATTTGTCTGGATTTTTTGCTGTTCGGCGTGAACAACCTTCATATTGAGGAATTTGAGCGCATGACTACCTTGTCTCACACTTTTAATCACTTAAAATATGTGTGATTTAAGTGTAGCCAATGCCATGTCTCACAGTTCTGAGTTTGGTGATAATCTCTAGTTTCATTTTGTCATGGTGGAACCCAAAAGGTCAGTGGGCCCTGGAGGAAATCTACCTTCAGCTGTGGTTCGGATCTCCTGTGCCTAGTTTTTTAAGCCTACCTTATCTTAGTAGATCTATCTTCCTTGAGTTGACCAGGCTTAGAATTTGTGGACATACAGGCTAACATTTTTTGTGTTTGTTGTTTTTTTTTTAGACAACCCATGTACCATTAGGAAGTTCTGTTTGCTTAGTGGGAAAGTGTTGTGTTGCCAACCCAAAGGTATGCAGTTCAAGTCCACCACTCATTCCACCGGAGAAAGATTAACAGTCTCCTCCCAAGTAATTTACTTGTTCTGGAAACCTGCTAGAGGGTCAGCTCTATAAGGATTTTTACCGTCCGATTTGATGATACACAACAATAACATTACCATGTTGAGTGTCTGGTCTGGGCCAGGATACTGAGGTTGATAGTTAAATTTAGTGTTGACAGAATTATTGGAGTTTTTAATTAATCCACTGCACTTCATGCATAGGAAAATGAGAATGGAATTGGAGTTCCTTTCTTCAGGTTGCCTCAGAATCACTTGGTCAAACTAGAGACAGATGCTGGAGTCCCTTCAGCCCCTGTTCCATGTTCTCCCATCAAAATCAATCAGCAAACACACATTGTGTGTTTACCACCTGCTACCCTGTGCCTGAGGACCTAGATGACCATAGAAAGTGGCCAGCAACTGACCCAGTGAGTACTGTGACCCATTTAAGAACAGATCTGAGAGTCATCATGTATTGTTCAAATAGAAGGGAAGCATGACTAAAGATGTATTCGTGGCAGAGGGGTACTTAATAAGAATGGATGGAATGTTAATTGACAACCACAGAGGGATGAGAATGTCCACTGAGGCAGTATGTGGGGCCACTGTGGATAAAGCGTCTATGGAGGCTTAATGTGAGGAGAGTACGGAGTAATTGTGATGGGCTTTGAATGGCAAGGATGGTTTTTCTGTCTTCGTCCTCCTGCTTTCTCCCGTAAAGGTAGGCATAGATGGCCTGTGGGGCAAACACCTAGTTCTCTTCACCACCTGCCAGCTGTGGGCATGGACGTGGTGGGTTCCATTCTCCCAGAAGGACTGCACTTTTCAATTGTTCACAGAGGCTCTCATGAGTTAGCAGCAGTTTTGTTCTCTCTTTTGACTTCGTTCCTCCAGTTACCTGAGTCTTACAGGCCCTTAGGTTTGTCCTGCTGACCTTGGGCAATGCAATGGCAGTTTCTTCCCGGATATTAGTGTTTTCCCCTTGTGCTTTTCATAAGGACATCTCAGGTTTGGGCAGCCCTTCTGAGCGATCCACTGCAGTCAGAGCTGAGTCTGAGAGAATGACAAGAAGGTAACGTCTACTCAGACTTGACTTGCAAGGGGCTTGGTGCTTTCTACTCAAGAGGAAACAGCTGGGGCCCCTTTAGAAGGATGCCCTTGAAGCAGATCACCCCATATTTAGACAGCTCAGAAGTACTCCAAGTAATACTGAGTTTGGGCTCTTTCTGGGGTTTTGTCTCTGTGTGACAGCTCAGGGAAGGGAGTGAGGGAGAGTCTCTGAGTAGTGCTCTGGGGTCACAGGTGCACACCTGTTGCAGGCAGCCTTGGAGAGCTGGATCAGGACTATGGTGAATCTATCAGGAGGGTGATTTCAGTTTTGGTTGTTTTTTTTTTTAATCAAAAGAATGTTTCTGGCTTTTAGAACAATGATGGTACTAGCTTTTTCCAGAAATGAAAGGGAGGACTCTCAGGGGCTGAGCAAGTTACTCGATGCTTCCTGAGTATTTTGAGTTTCTTAGGGAACTCTAGTGACCTAGTGGCAAGAAGCTGTGTACAGAAATCCTGAAGCCCCCAGTGCGAGGCCACTAGTTGCTCTGCAGCAGAAGGATGGTCAGTCTCCTCTTGTGTGATGAACTGCTTCTGAAAACTGCTGGAGGGTCAGCGGTGGGTCAGTTCCAACTGGACAGTACACAAGATGTGCATTTTTCTTTCAAATAAAGACCAAAGTGAGACATATGGTGGCAAATTACAATTATTTACATACAATAAATCCACATAATCAACACCTAAAAATATAAAACCATCTACTGTGCTGTCCACAATTTAAAGATTTGAAATGAATGTCAAATCATAGTGCCTCTATAGGCATGGAGATAGATGGATGCATCTGCATTTAAATTTGTGGTTGAACATCTTATTCCAACCCTGTCAGCATGTTTCAGTGGCCACTTGCATGACTTCATTTGAAGTCCACAACCTTTGAGACGTTTGTGGGTCTCAGACTGAGCCAGAGGGCCTCCCTGCCAACATCCTTTCAGTGATCAGAAGCACGTAAGTCTAAGTCTGAATAAACTGTGTTTCTGAGATGCTGCAGTGAGTTGAGAACTGAGGCTAATGGGTAGATGCCTTTAATTACAAGGGCTGGAGTGATAACTTGAATGTGTTGAGGTTGGCAGGGTATCATCACATTTCATACTTTAGCTCCCTCAAATTGTATCAGCTAAGATTTATCCTTTCCTATTTCCTCCAATTGAGTAGACAGACTAGTAATTTTTAAAATGATATGGCTCCTACATGCAGATTTAAATTTAATGGGCTTAATTGGTGGATTTTTTTTCCAAACCATACACATGAACCCTCAGATGCTATTTATTGGAGGTAAGTGGTGTTGGCATGTTCCTCAGGCCCTAATCCATCTGGCGGTCTGGGGACAGGGCAGCGCAGTACCAAGTTTAAGGTGTTGTCCTTAGGTGCAGTCTTGATAGGAATTTTTGCCCAGAGTAAAGATGTAGAGAGGTCATGGCTTCTAAATAAGCCTCCTCTCTATTTTGATCATCACTTTCTTTCTGGAGATAACCTAAGAGAATGGTGGCGTTGGTTTTGTGGGTGGTATTTTGGAAAGAAAAAGTTGTAATCATTTTTAGGAATAAAAAGAAAAAGGTGCAGTTGCTCAAGAGGCAAGGATGAAGGATGATGCGGGCACAGAGACAGTGTTTCTTTCAGTGCACTGCACATACCCGCAGATATGCCATTGCCTTTCCATATAAGAGAAGCAGGGTGGGGTTGGGGGAATGGAAAGGAGAAACAATTCCCTATTTTCTTTCTTGATGACCCATGACAGTTGTGGAAAGGGGGGTGAAAGGGAGGGGGGAAACGAGGCAGGAGGGGGGAAACAGAGGGGTCTTTCAGTGACAGAGCAAGGAAAATGGCAAATTATCCATGGTTTCCAGAAATCCGTGGAGGCTCCCTCGGCCCCTGCCCTGCTAAATACAGTGCTGGCTGGATACATTTCTCACCTCTGAGATGTCTGCTTGAATATTCTGTTGCAGTGTATACCAATGTTGGTTATATACAGTCTACCTATGTGTGAGATCAATCTTAGGTTCCTACGGATGCCCTGGTGGAAATCTGCTTTATCCTAATGCTGTGTAAGAAAGACCTTTCACAAAGA